AAAGAGCATGAGAAGGGGCTGCAGGGGATTTCCATCTAAGTAAAATTAATCGTCTCGCTAACAACGTGACAAAGGCAATTACATCCTTATTCATTTTGGTCAATTGTATTGTGGATAAGGAAACTCCAAATAATGCAATGAGAGGGTCTGGCTCCATCTGTGTGCCGCTTAATTCTGAGAGTGTGTTAAAGATGTCTTTCCAGAAACCAACAAGAGATGGGCAGCACCAAAACATGTGCACATGATTAGCAGGGGACTGGTTACATCGAACACAATTAGGGTTCACATCCTTGTAAATTTTTGATAGTCTTGCTTTGGTCCAGTGGGCCCTATGAATGAGTTTGCATTGGATGAGGCCGTGTCGAGCGCAAATAGAAGAGCTATGTACCCTTTTGAGTGCCCCTTCCCATAGTTCATCAGATATTTCCTCACCCAGTTCCTCCTCCCAAGAGGATTTGATATTGTTTAATGAGATGGCTTGTAGTGAGCAAATTTGACTATAGATTATTGACAATGTGCCTTTCTGATTAGGAAGTGGGGTGAGAAATGTGTCGAACTGTGTTCCACCAGAAAGGTTGGGGAATCCTGGATCTATGCTGCGGACATAACTCCGGACTTGTAAGAACCTAAAAAAATGATGTCTGGGGAGACCAAATTTAGCTGATAATTGTTGAAACGTACTAAATGTATTGTTAGTATACAGATCTCTGAATCTTTTAATACCGAGATTAGACCATGTTGAGAAAGCACCATCAATCATAGATGGGGGAAAAGCTGGGTTTGAGGCTACCGGAGCCAAGGAAGAGGTTGTTTGAAACCCAAAGTGGCGCCTAAATTGATTCCAGATCTTCAATGTTGTTTTGACACATATATTATTGGTGAAGGAGGAGTAAGGGCCTGTAACAGAGGAGTGAGCGAGGGAAGACAATGATGCCGGTGTAGACGAGGCAGCCTCCATCTCCAGCCAAGTTGGGGGTGGGAATATCACTCTGCTCTGCAACCAGTACTGAATGATCCTAAGGTTAGCGGCCCAATAATAGAATCTGAAATCTGGTAGAGCTAGACCGCCGTCTGGTTTGGGCCTCTGCAAGAGCTGTTTTCGCATCCTAGGAGGCTTTTTGTCCCATATAAAGGGTAGAATTAGGCCGTCGATCTTTTTGAAAAATGTATTGGGTAGAAATATTGGAAGGCACTGATAGAGGTATAAGAATTTAGGGAGAGTATTCATTTTAATAGAGTTAATTCTAGCAACTAAGGAGAGGTGTAGCAAAGACCACCGTTCCAAATCGTCCTTAGTACGGGTTAAGAGAGGAGCAAAGTTGGCTTGAAAAAGGTTTTCAAACCTAATTGTGACATGTACCCCGAGATAAATAAAACTACTGTGAGCTATTTTAAATGGCAAGTTATGTAAAGGGGATTTTTTTTGCAGCCATGTTAAGTGGCATCAATTCACTTTTACTGAGATTTAGTTTATACCCTGATAAGTGACCGAAGGATGCGAAAGTAGCAAGGGCAGCAGGGACAGAGACAGAAAGATTGGATGTGTATATTAATAAATCATCTGCATATAAAGACAGTTTGTGTTCGTGTCCGTATCTGACTATGCCTTTGATGAGGGGGTTGGAGCGAAGTGCTATTGCAAGTGGCTCTATGGCGAGGGCAAACAGTAAGGGACTTAAAGGGCAACCCTGACGTGTCGATCTTTGCAAAGGGAAGCGATCTGATTGAGTGTTATTAGTCCTGACAGAGGCTTGGGGGGATGAGTACAGAAGTTTTATCCAGGTCATGAATTTGGAGCCAAAGCCAAATTTATTTAAAGTGTAAAAAAGGTATTTCCATTCCACCCGATCAAACGCTTTCTCCGCGTCCAGGGATATAATGGCTTCAGAGGTATTGTCGACAGAAGGATTGTATATAATATTAAATAATCTTCGGAGATTGAAGAATGAGTGTCTATTTTTTATAAATCCTGTTTGATCCGGAGAGATAATTGATGGGAGGACTGTTTCTAGCCGCGTTGCCAGAATTTTGGCTAGAATTTTATAGTCCACATTTAGCAGGCTAATTGGACGGTATGATGCACAGTCAAGAGGGTCTTTGTTTTTTTTAAGAATAACACAAATGGTTGCTTGAGTGAGAGTATGTGGGAGAGCACCATTTACAAATGCATCATTGTACATTTCAATTAGAATAGGGGCTATTTTGGAGATAAACTTTTTATAAAACTCTGTCGAGTAGCCATCAGGCCCTGGGCTTCTCCCAGATTGAAGGGATTTGACAGCGTTAGACAGTTCTTCAACAGTGATCGGCTGCTCTAATTTTTTTACCAAATCCCGGCCGACCGAAGGCACAGAAAGTGAGTGGAAGAAATCATCCAATTCCAGTGTATCCGCTTTACTTTCAGAGGTATATAGAGACTGGTAATATCTCTTGAACTCCTCATTGATCCCCCCAGGATCTAATGATATCCCAGATGATGTACGAATTTTTGTAATCTGAGATGATGATGATAGTTGACGTAACTTGTGAGCTAATAATTTACTGGCTTTATCTCCTTGTTCATAGTAAGTGCTCCTAGACTTGACAAGCATTTCAGTAACCTGGTCTGTTAATAGTGTGTCAAATTCTGCTTGCAGAGTTAAACGTTCCTTATAAATATCCGGGGATGGTGAAACGGCATAAATGTCATCTAATTGGGCAATACAGCGTGTTAACATAGATAACCTATGCCTTTTCAATTTGTTCTCATGTGCGGTGTAGGAGATAATTTCACCTCTGATATAAGCTTTCAAAGTTTCCCAGAGAGTAGACGCAGAGATGTTTGGGGTTCTATTTGTAATCATGAAAAAGTCGATTTGACTCAAAACAAAATTGACAAAGTGTTCATTACTGAGCAGTTGAGTTTTTAGTCGCCAAGGCGGTCGCTGATTGTCAACATTTTGAAAAGCTACTTCCATAGTAACAGGGGCGTGGTCAGATACAACTATTGGGTTATATGAACATGAAGATATGGAGTGGAGGAGCCGGTCATCAACAAGGAAGTAGTCTATGCGCGTAAAAGTGTGGTGAACCGATGAGAAAAAAGAGTATGCTTTCCCAGCTGGATTAACCATTCTCCAAGGATCTGAGACTGCGAATTCAGACATAAAGGTTCGAACAACTCTAGCTGAGGTTGATAAGGTGGTAGGTTTAGTGGAGGATCGATCCAATTGTGGGTCTAACCAACAGTTAAAGTCACCTCCTAAAATCAACATATGGGTGGACATATCTGGGAGTGTAGAGAAAACCGATTTGAAAAAATCACCATTGTCCCAATTAGGAGCATAGATATTAACAAGAAGAACCTTTGTATTGAGCAGCCTACAACTGACAATTATATATCTACCATGGGGATCTGCGATCACCTTAGAACATGTAAAAGGTACCGATCTGTGAAGTAAAATAGCCACCCCTCTCGCCTTACTCTGAAATGAGGAATGGAACACCTGACCCACCCATCTGCACCTAAGACTTGAGTGTTGTGATACCTTCAGATGAGTTTCTTGGAGAAAGATGATGTGAGCTTTCAAATGATGAAGATGGTGTAGCACCTTACTACGTTTAACTGGGTTATTTATGCCCCTGCAGTTCCAAGTAAGAAAATTAAAGCCATTCCCTCCAGCAGTATGGGCTACACTAGGCTGAGTCATATCTTAAGAGAGAGAGAGGATGTGTAAAGGACAAGGTACAATGTAAACTGAAGATCTTAGTTGAACCTAAAAGCGCAAATGTAAAAAACAAAGACAAGCGAAGAGGCACAAAAAACATATACAAACTATATACAAATAGAGAGTGAACAAACCCTTCCCTCACACCCGCCCTTGCCGAAGCATCTCCCCAAATGAGATGCAAGCAAAACCCTAAATACAAAGAAAGTTTAGAGCTAAGCATGATAACTCTTACTCTGTGCTACCTAAGATTAGTGACCATTTAACTAGAGTAAGCCAAACATGGATAGAATGGTCCCCAACAGAGTCTAAGGAAAACTATCCTCGATTAAGAGAGGTTTAACCTCGACGCAGATGGTAAATGATCAAACTGAAACAGCCATGCAGACCCCCAGATATTGGCATTAGAGGCGGCAAACCTGGGCTGGAAATAAAGAGATAAAAAAGAGAATGACCTTCATATGTCGATGAACCCAGCAAAGATGGCTTCGTTAGTCACCCATTCGGCCTGCTAACTAGCTTGCTAGGAAGACCAGCCAGCCAACCATTTGTTACACACCATGCGGTACAACAGCCGCTTTCACGTTCTTGTTGATGAAATCTGCCGCTATAGCCGGGTCCTCGAATCTGTGCATGGAGCCGTCCGGTAAAGTCAGTCTCAAAACCGCAGGGTAGATGAGGCCGAACTTCACGCCCGGGCAGGCGTGTAGTTGGCGTTTCACAGCTCCAAAGCTAGCCCGCCTCTTAGCCACAGCTGTTGTGTAGTCCGCAAATATCGAGACTCTTTTACCCTTATGTAGAAGAGGGGATGCTTCTCCCGATCTTCTCAGTATGTCGTTGCGGACGTGAAAGAAATGCACCCTGATGACAAATGGTCGCGGGGGTTCTCCATCCCTGGGTCGGCTACGCAGAGTGCGGTGAGCCCGGTCTAGCAATGGCTTCTCCTCTAGCCCGAGCAGCTCCTGAAGTAGCTGGGCCATGTACTCCGTGGGCCTTGGGCCCTCCACTCCCTCCGGTATTCCCAGTAGACGAATGTTGTTCCTCCGCATTCTACTTTCCATATCTTCGCATCTATTATCGAGGAATGCCACCCTAGTTGTCAATGAGCCGACGTTAGCCTCTAGCTCGCTAATGCGAGTGCTGTGGTCTGTAGCACCTCGCTCCAAATCCGATAAAGTCACCCCATGTGCGTCGAGCTTATTCTGTATACTCTCGATAGATTTTTTAAGCTCGTCTTTGATCGTTGATATCTCTGACCTGAGATTGGTAGAGAGACAGTCAATTTTTCCGAAAATGTCGGTTTTGAGGGTGCCTATCACGGATTGCAGCATCTCCACAGTCAGTGTTTCCGTGGGGTCGGCATTGGCAGCGTTCGGTGGCGGGGGTGAGTCGGGAGAAGTTGCAGGCTTGCTGCGGCCTGCTCTTGCGGACTCTGTTTTTGGCCGGGTTGATGTCATTACGAATTTAAATTTATTAAACTTGAACTGAGTTGTTTATGGGTCTCTTCAGACGCCTGGGCAAACAGAAATGTATGCAATTTTGCAAAGTTAAATATATAAATTTGGTCACTAATTCAGGAGCGATAGGGAGACGCGTGCTACATCCTTGGCTTCCAACAGCGCCCCCGGTCTTGCACATTTTAATACTTCACCCATTCAGTTTAAGGAATGGACAGAACTTGCCCCGTGTTGGTAATCCTGCCTTCTCCTTCTAGCCTTTCTGGAGAAATTCCTTGGGCGCCATTCCTACTTTTCAGACCGCAGACACAGCAATATAAACTGCAAACAACATGACGATTTGAGGTCATTTTAGAGATCTGAGAGGTAGGTTTTGAAGGGGGTTTAAACTTTCTTAGCGTAGAGTTCTTGAGACTTTCATGGATCAATTTTAGAAGTTCTGCACAGTGTTCTTCTCAAATTAATTGATTTGCATAATGCATAGAATGAGAGAGAGATTGCTTTGAGAGACTAGTCAAGGCTCATATCACCTCTACCTTACCTGCCACCCTATATCCACTTCAATTTGCTTACCGCCCCAATAGATCCACAGACAATGCAATCGCCATCACTCTGCACACTGCCCTATCCCATCTGGACAAGAGGAATACCTATGTATGAATGCTGTTTATTGACTATAGCTCAGCATTCAACACCATAGTACACTCCAAGCTCATCATTAAGCTTGAGGCCCTGGGTCTGAACCCCGCCCTGTGCAACTGGGTCCTTGACTTCATGACGGGCCGCTGATCCTCAATACTGGGGCCCCACAAGGGTGCGTGCTCAGCCCACTCCTGTACTCCCTCTTCACCCATGACTGCGTGGCCAAGCACGCCTCCAACTCAAGTTTGCAGACGACACAACAGTAGTAGGCTTGATTACCAACAATGACGAGACAGCCTACAGGGAGGAGGTGAGGGCTCTGGGAGTGTGGTGGCAGGAAAATAACCTCTCACTCAACGTCAACAAAACAAAGGAGATGATCGTGGACTTCAGGAGACAGCAAAGGGAGCACGCCCCCATCCACATCGACGGGACCGCAGTGGAGAAGGTGGGAAGCTTAAAGTTCCTTGGTGTATACATCACTGACAAACTGAAATGGATCACCCACACAGACAGTGTGGTGAAGAAGGCGCTACAGAGCCTCTTCAACCTCAGGAGGCTAAAGAAATTTGGCTTGGCACCTAAAACCCTTACAAACTTTTACAGATGCACAATTGAGAGCATCCTGTCGGGCTGTATCACCGCCTGGTATGGCAACTGCACCGCCCGCAACCGCAAGGCTCTCCAGAGGGTGGTGCGGTCTGCACAACGCATTACCAGGAGCAAACTACCCGCCCTCCAGGACACCTACAGCACCCGATGTCACAGGAAGGCCAAAAAGATCATCAAGGATATCAACCACCCGAGCCACTGCCTGTTCACCCCGCTATCATCCAGAAGGCGAGGTCAGTACAGGCGCATCAAAGCTGGGACCGAGAGACTGAAAAACAGCTTCTATCTCAAGGTCATCAGACTGTTAAACAGCCATCACTAGGACATTAGAGGCTGCTGCCTATAGACATAGACTAGAAATCACTGGCCACTTTAATCATGTTTACATATCTTGCATTACTCATCTATTCTATACTATTCTATCTTAGTCCATGCCGCTCTGACATCGCTCGTCCATACATGTATATATTCGTAATTAATTCCTTACTTAGATTTGTGTGTATTGGGTATATGTTGTGAAATTGTTAGATATTACTTGTTAGATATTACTGCACTGTTGGAGCTAGAAGCACAAGCATTTTGCTACTTCCACAATAACATCTGCTAAACACGTGTATGTGACCAATAACATTTGATTTGATTTGATGAGGTGAGGTGGAGTTTTGAGGAGCTGGGGTTTCATTCCAGAAGACTAGCCAACGTTCTTTCAGGAGCCTGTGGTCTCAACCAGCAGGACAGGGTTTTTCTGGTACTACCCAGGGTTCCAGAGGGTGCCTCGTCAATGTGGTCCATCTCAAAACAGGTGAGCTGGGAAAGATCTAATAATGACTTGCGTAAAATTCAATATTATTGAATAGAGTACAAGAGTATGTTGATAGGATCATTGTGGTCCAAATATATGGTATTGATTGTCCAGAAAATTTTATCAGATGTGTTGCAAAGCAACAAATATACATTTTTGGTGCAATACAATACTATGTTTAAGCTTTGGAAGCAAAACACTTTTACGTACAATGCTGGTATTATCTGATTGTTTAATGTTTCCGCTTCTTTATTTGTCTGTACTTATTACAAGTCCCTAAGACCCTAGTTTTGTCGCCTCACAGGTACAGTCCTGCTACCAGGCACCTCTCAGCTGACAGCCAGGGACATGCTCCACCGGCTGCAGACCTCCGAGGCCCACTGTGTTATCACAGACGAGTCCCTGGCCCCCCTGCTGGATGCCGTGGCCTCTCAGTGCTCCAGCCTGCAGCACAAACTGCTGGTGTCCCCCACGAAGAGAGAGGGATGGATGAACTTTGGAGATCTGGTGAGATAATGATAATAACTTAATCAGATGAGAGTTTCATCATAATGGCTCAAATTCACTTTGTCTGATCTATTGGTTGATCTACACCTTTGATTGCTTGTTATTTTCATAATTTCGGTCAAACTTAAAATAACACCTTTCTCTCGCCATAGTAATGCTTCTAGCGACCATGAGTGTGTAGAGACTCGCAGTTATGACCCTATGACCATCTTCTTCACCAGTGGGACCACAGGGTCACCTAAGATGACCCAACACAGCCACAGCAGCTATGGGATAGGTCTCACTGTCAACGGTAGGTAGTCCCGCCATCATAATCATAACCTTAACTACAGCCAAAACCCCAACACAACCATAACATAACCACAACCAGAGCACAACCATAACATGGGTTGAACTTAGATTGCACTGACACTAACTGCTTTGGACTGAAACCCATTTAACTGAACCCTAATTGAGGTTTGTCTCTGTCACCCTCCTTCCCTCCTTCTCTCCCTCTCTCCTGTCTGAGTGGAGGTACTGGTTTGGCCTGACGGAGAGGGATGTCCTGTTGAACATGTCAGATACAGGCTGGGCCAAGTCTGCCTGGAGCAGTGTCTACGTTCCCTGGGTGTCTTCATCCATAATATACCCTGCTTCGACAGTCACACTGTACTAGAGGTGTGTGTGTGTTTGTATGTATGTGTGTTCATACACCATATGGTCTGAAAACACCTATTCCCTTACCTTACCTCTTTGATGTCAGCACATTTTAGGGAAATGTTTTGCTTCAGATCTGCAAGCACTAAATTTGACCACTAGAGGGCCCTGCATGACCATTCTCACTCCATAGAACCCCTCTCAGACATGTCTTCTACAGCAGGTTTGTCGTGGCTTTGTTAATACTGAATGTAGAAGGAAATGTTACTATTTAATGTCATACGGATACTAATATTTCATGTGTTTTTCTTTGAAAACTCTCTCCAGCTACCCCATATCCACATTATGCACGGCTCCAACTGCTTATCGAAAACTAGTGCAAGAGGACATGTCCAGGTATTTGCTTATAGAATGACTAAATAATGGTCACTTTTAGATTAAAACCAAATCATTATTGACATTTGAGACATCTCTTCTTGTCAGGTATAATTTCAGCAACTTGCAGCATTGTTTGTGTGAAACTGTGAGTTACGTTTGAGAAGACAGGTTTGAGAAGAAAGGTTTTAAAATGATCAAAGCCGGGTCTTTTGGGAAGGCTTCACCAGCGTATGATATGCAGCTAGGTGCAGTCGACTGACCACATTGTGTCCGTAGCACAGCAACAGTATTGGAGATTATCAAAGTAATTCATTCATTCATGTGATGTGTGCTAAACCATCAACAAAAGGTGTCAATGGGAAATCAATAAAGTTGCCCAATGGAGTGGAGGGGAACCTTTTCCCTCTTTACTGAATACACGGTATGTAGGACCACTTCACTGCAAGTCAACTAGATGCCACTAGGTCTCCCTGTCTGTTTTCTTCCAATAGGGATTGATTAAATATCCACATGATTTATTGATTGATTGGTTTTCTTGATTGATTGATTGCTTTATTTATTTATTGATTGATTGATTGGTCCTTCTATTTGATATTGATTTGAACCTTCTGGTTTGTTTCCTTGTAACTTAATGTTGTAATATTTGTGTACACATCCGTGCAGTGTGACCCTGAGCGGACAGAAGAGTGCTACATTGGGGACTTCTACCTGACTGGATATAGGTTCGTCATGGATGAGGATGGCTACCTGGGTTTTGTGGGTTGAGCTAATGACGTCATCCTCTCAGATGGGTAATACAGTATGGTTGAGTTCCTGTCCGACTAGATGTGCAGGCGTTGCATTGCATCAACCAATGGTTGCGTGCCAAGTTATAGACTGCAGTCGGGCATCAGATTTCTAAGTCATCTGATGTGGTTAGCTGATTATGTTAAATACCAACCCAGGCGTTGTAAGATTTGGTATCTGTCTGGAATGTAGTCGGGCAGGAACTCAACCTATATATATGGGGCACAGATGTAAATGGAAAGTTCTTCTCAGTCCATCTGAGTCTGGGAAACTGAACGAAAATGGTTGACTATATCTAGGTTGGTTGTTTAGGTACCATATTGGTCCCTTTGAGGTGGAAAACGCTTTGATAGAACATCAGGCTGTGCAATATATGATTCCACAGATGTGCAATATAATTGCTAACCTGCCGAAGGTGTTCTTTTTATTTTTAAAACCAATATGACTGAGCATGTTTGTCATGTGCAAAGGGTTGGTTTCCCGACACTCTACATTAGTTATAATTTAATTGCACTATAGACAAGTCAGCCGTGGTCTGCAGCCCTGATCCTATCAGAGGTGAAACTGCCATGTCCTTTTGCAATATTACAACAACAAAGAAATTACTTCAAACAATGAACACTGTTTTTTCCAGTAATAGTACTAGAAACATTAACATCTAGTTCTATAAAAAAAAAAGAAATGAGGCCACTATTCCCAAGTATCTACTATATAAACATACAAACCTGTGTGTGCGTGTGTGAGTGTGTGTGTGTGCGCCCCATTATTCACAGTCCATTTAGTTATCCCATGTTCCTCAGAGGTCTTCTACTGAAGTCCACCACTTTGCATGTTCTTCTTCTTCTTCACACACTTGTTGGTGTTGATGACAGTGTGTATCCAGTCCAGGTATTGTGTGACGTCTGTGTAGACCCCTGGGAACTGACCATCTGACAGCCCACACTCCAGGATACCACCCCCAACAGCATGGTAACATACACCAGAGTTCCCCCAGAGAAGACAGAATACTTAAAAAGTATATACATCTTTTTTTTCTCGAGTCTAATTGCTAATCTGTAGGTGATTAAGTGGAAGCAAGATTTCCAACCTTGTCTCAATCAGTCCATCCCTCTCATGGGCCATTGATAAATGTATTTGTAACTTGTGATACTGTCTTTTGTATGTATTTGTATTTTTTGTAACATTTTACGTACAAGCTGCTATTTCCCTGTTTTGCCATCTTGCCAGGTCGCCCTTGCAAAATAGATTTCTAACCTCAATGGATCTTACCTGGTTAAATAAAGGTTAAATAAAAAATTTAATAAAGTATGGCCATTTGATGTTTTGAGTAGCAAGTTCTAATTTCTCCCAGCAGAGGGAGACCTCTACACATTTTGCCATGACTTTTGCCATGTTAATATGATATCTGAGTGAGTGACTAACAAAATCAGTGGGCGACCCCCAGTCGGTAATTCAAGCATGGTTACTGCAAGTTTAGATAGCTGGCTAGACTAGCTTACCAATCTATTTGAGTGACTGTCAGTGATTGACATAAGAGATAAACTGCTGATGCACAACCAAATTTCAAATTGCACCTTATGTATTCTACTATTCTAACTCTCAACAGCAAATTGAGACCCTGACTGAGTTTTTACAAAAAAAACTGCAGGGGCCCTAAGTGGTTGCTTATGTCGCTTATGCCTAGGGCCAGCCCTGGTCCCCGGAACAGAACTTCATGTGTGTGATAATGCCTTCATAAGAGCTGTTACTGTGTCCTGTATATGAAGTTAGCAGCCCTCAGCAGCCCGTGTAAGAGGCGTCCCTTCTCTGGTTAGACCGAACCCAGACACCATGCAGTTCTGGCCAGCCTCTGCCCTGTCAGAAGGCCCTGGGAGCTCCACCACTCCCACCCTGTCCCCTAGCATCGCCTGCCGGATCAGCTGTGACAGAGGTGGAAAGAGCTCTTCGTATGTACAGTACAAGGGAAACCAGGTGCATTTTTTATGCTGGATACCAGATAACCAAACTATTACCAGATAACCAAACTAATGCTACAGAATACTATGGCCATGTGAAAAATAAATGGTAGAAGAGCAGCTGTGTGCAAAGTCTACTTCCAAGTGTTTTGAAACAAGATCCTGTGATCAATCTGTGACTTGAACTGAGTTTCCCAGTGTGTGTGGCATGTACCTTGATCAGCATGATGTCATGGTTGATGACATAACTGCCGTTGTACAATGAGGTTCTGCAGATATGGCCCACCTGAATCCTCTGGCTCCTTTGACCCCTCACCGACAAGCTCCCACTGCCCAGGTCCATCGTCATCCTGGAGGGTCTTTGGGTTTGGGGGAAAAGCATATCAGACTGGGTATAGGGACTTAGATTAAGCAGATTAAGCTTGAACCAGTAACCCTGCATTTAAAGGGAAAGCACACTACCTCCTGTGCCATAAGTTCCAGAACTCTTGGCAGGGGCCATGCCGTGCTGTACCGGCAGGCTGTAGCAGTGACGACCGAGCGCGGATGAATCAGGGTTCCACTGGTGAAATGGAACTGCCTCCGAAGCAGTGCAGCATGTTATGGAATATTTCCCCTCAGGTCGCCTTCCAATATGCAACTCCTGCCCCGGTAGACGTAGCTATAGAATGGTTAATGGGATTTCCATTAGCAAATCTGTAACATGTATGGAGCATCAAATATCCCGTTAACAATTCTATAGCTACCGTAGACGTAATAATCGTCGCTATAGAGAGCAATAGTAATAGCGTCTTTTTGTAGGCACTGGAGGCTAACTCTGCCAAGGCTCATTGGGAAATTAATGTAATTTTTGTGGGGTCATGTTAACTGACTGATATTATCTCATAGAACAAAAAGTATAAGATCTCCTAACCCTGTGTTAACCTCAGACCTTATTTTCCAACATGATATCATAGGAAAACATCATCCTGGCATGTTTTTGTAAAAAGGTAAAATGTCACAGTAGCTGACGTTTTTCTCAGTACATTGTAGACAATGGCAAAATATGAATGTCACAGGGTTGATGTTTTTCTCAATATATTGCAGTCAATAAGAAATTATGTGTGTCACAGGGTTGACTTAAATCACAATACTTTGCAGTCAATGGGAAAAGATGAGTGTCACAGGGTTGATGTTTTCTCCATATAAGTGGGCAGGTCAATGGGAAAAGATGAGTGGCCAACAGGTTTGATGTTTTTGCTTCTTTAGCTCATGTCTAGCTCTCTCTCGCTCACTCTCAAATTATTAGACCCACCCACCTCATTGCTTCTCTATCCTCCCCATGTGCACCCAAGACAACGAGGCACCCTCAAAACTCCTGAGGGAGAGAGAGAAAAAAACGAAAAACACCCAGGAGAAAAAGAAGAACGACGAAATCCACCTCTCTCACTCTCCTCTCCCCCTCAAAACGAAAGGCAGGTGAGCCTTCTTTAGAAAAGAAGAGAGCCGCTCATCTCTCTCCTTCCCTCTCCCCTCCCCTCCCCCTGAAGGGAAGAACCCTCTCCCTTTCCCCCTCTCTCTCCCTCCCTTCCAATACTTAACACCTCTCCCTCTCTATCGCCCATCTCTTCCCCCTCCCTCACTCTCTCCATCTCTCCTTCTGGTCTCCTATCTCCGACCCCCTCCATTCTCTCTCCTCTTTATTCCCTCCCTCCCCTCCTGTACCTCCCTCCCCTTCTCTCATCTGTATCCTCGCCTCTCTCTCCCCATCCCTCTTCACCCTCTCCCTCTCTCCCCCTCCCTTACTCTCCCCCCAATTCACTCTCTCCTTCCCCCTACATTCTCTCTCCCTCCTTCTTTCCCTGTCTCCACCTCCTCTCACCTCTCTCTCCCACAGACAGGCCGACAGACAGGCAGACAGATAAACAGACAAAGACAGGCAGACAGTTAGACAGTTAGGCAGACAGACAGACAGAGACAGTTTGAAGTGTTAAGTCAATAAAATAAAAAAACGGAACAATATCCTCTTCAGGATATTCAGTTTCTAGAAATGCAAGACCATTGTGTGCAATGGATGTAAAAAATGCTTTGGGTCAATTGACTTCAAATTTCATATGCCAAGTCATGAGAGTCCCCCAGTCACAAATATGTACAATTTGGGAAGATTAAACCGTTTTAACCCTTCAAAACTGCCCCTATGACCCCCAATTAATTCACTTCCTGTAATCACAGGAAGATGAAATGCAATGTACGGCCTCCTAGCAACACTCTTCAACGATGCCCCGAGTTTTTATTTTAAGAATTGACCGTTCTACAGAGGATGGAAGACAGTGTTTTTGTGTAACTGCAGGGAGATAATGAAGGACCATGTTGAGGATGAATTAAGACACTTCTTGTTGCCACAGGAAGCTTCAAACTTTCTGTCGATGTCACTCAAAAGTATATTAACTCTAGGTCAGGCTTCAAGTGAGGCCTACCTTTCTGTCATGTAGTGGGGGGAGTGGCAAATTAATTAAATTGTTAGTTGGATTAAGGCTAGGGTTATGTCTAGGGTTGAGGCCCTAACCCTAGCTTCATGTTCACTACCAGCTCAACTCTTTCCTTAACCATAAATCTAACCCTAACTCTAGCTTCATGTCCACATCCTGGCTCAACCCTAAACCTAGCCTTAACCCTTACCCTAACCCTAGCTTCATATAAACTCCCAGCTCAAACCTAACTCTAACCCTGACCCTAACCTAAACCTTCACTTCATTTCCACATGTTGGCTCAACCCTTCTGCTGATGTCACTCAAAAGCACTAGTTCAGGCTTCAAGTGAGGCCTACCTTTCTGCCATGTGGTGGGGGGAGGGGCACATTAATTAATTGTTAATTGGATTAAGGTTAGGGCTATGTCTAAGTTTGAGGACCTAACCCTAGCTTCATATCCACATCCTGGCTGAACCCTAAACCTAGCCTCAACCCTAACCCTAACCCTAGCTTCATATCACCTCCTGGCTCAACCCTAACCCTAGCTTTATCTCCACATCTTGGCTCAACCCTAA